AACATTTTCAAGGAACAACATTTTAAATAAAATGTCATATATGCTAATTAAGTATAAAAAAAAAAAGATCTATCCCCATATTCAGTTGAGAAAAATAAGGAAAAGTCAAGACGACCATTTAATCGATCTATCAAAATGTGAATCAAACTAAAGAGGTCACATAGTTAATCTAATTTAATGTACCAAAAAATTGCCTTTATTTCAGTTTATTCATGATTTATCTGGATATGATACTTATTCAAGAAAGGGCTGGGTGGTGATAATGATAAAAAAATGCATTTATTAAAGGCAAAAATGAGAAGAAGAAAAAAAAGGCAAGGAATACAAATGCCGAGCAACATCGATAATTAATCCAAAAATGTGAAAGAATTCAGAGCTCAGGGTAAATAAGTCACCAAAAAAAAGGCATTTATGATGTTATAGATTCGTGACTGTAACTCGATTAGCCAGGAAAAAAGAATTTTGCAACAAAATGAATAGAATTTGATATATCGAACAGGGAAAGCTTTCGTCATTTTAAATTGAATTGAGTATTCAGATTTGTATGTAAAAACTGATATTACGGAACACTTTAGGATTGTCTGTATAACGACCTGCAAATTAGATAAAGAATATACTCCACTGCACCTGGACTATCTTGGTATGCTAAGCTAAAATCAAATAAAATAGAATTATTGGATGATTATGACACGATACATATGTTAGAAAAGGTTTCTGAGGTTATGTATTTCTCAATATTTTAATAGATATGAGTAAGGGAATTATAAATGTTTGAAAAACTATGATAAAAGAAGAAAATCTAATAATTTAACGGATATAGTTGCGAGCAATTTATAGGGTAGGGCAATGAGCCAGTCATTACCATGTGGTGGTTACAAGTGGGGAAACAGCAATGGAGATCTAAGGGAAATTCTTTTATTATGCAGATGTTGGTTACATTATAAAATGTGCTTTGGAATACAGTAAAAATCTTCACGATAAACAATCAGATTTAGCTTTCGTACCAGAGAATAAAATTCCCGATGGATCAAAAAAAAAGGAAGAAAGAAAGAAAATTATTGACAACATTATAAGATAAAGATCTTTATGTTCTTCCATACAGACATTTGAAACAGTATTTGCAAATGGGAATAGAATTGCAAAAAAGTGCACAGAGTATTAGAGTTTAATCAATCTCCTTGATTGATGAAATAAATAGACTTAAACGTAGAAATGAGCACTAAAACCAACTAATGATTTCGAAAAAGATTTTAACAAACTTATAAATAATTCAGTGTTTTGAAAAATGGTGAAAAACATGAGGAAAAAAAAACTTGCGGTTAGATTGTGCCATAAATCCAAGAAAGCTGAAAAACTTATAGTTAAACCGATGAAGAATTATTTTTCAAGGGAAGAATTATTTTCAATGAAAATGTTTTCGCTGTACATCATATGACTAAAACTAAAATACTTTTTAATGAATGTTGGAATGAGCATTTCAGATACGTATTTAATGTATGATTTTCATTATAATGTGATGAAATCTAAATATGGGGAACAAATTGAATTATTATAATATACAGATGCGGTAGTTTCATTTAGGATAAAAAAAATTTTTTTATAAGGACATGAAAACTATGATTGATTACTTCAGATTATCCGGAAAATGAGTAAATAAAAAAGTTTTGGGCAAGATGAAGATAGAAAATAATTAAGGAGGAATTTATTGGATTAAGATCTAAGATGTAAAACTGACAAAAACGCAATGCGAAAAAAAAAAAATCTAAAGATATTCAAAAATATGTAGTTCAAAATAAGCTATCTTTCGAGGATTAGATTCACCAACAAGTCGGGTACGGAACCATGGATCTCATTAGAAGCGCAAAACATTCTGTAGGAATAAATAATATTGCTATATTAGGGAAAGATCGCAAACGTCACAGGAGCTCTGGAACAATAAAAAATAAGAAGCATAAAATCTGTGAAAAGTAATGAAATTTAAGGAATAAAGATTTAATGATTATAAAGCATTAAAACTTTTATCTAACACAGATTCTTCTTGATGAGTACTTAGATTAGTCATAATGGAACCTTTTGATTAACAGTTTTTTAAGCTGTAAAACGAAAAAGAGTTTTTCGTCAACTAAATTTTAGCACTGCGCTAACTCTCTCAAATTATCTTGTTTTAATCATATGAACGTTATTTATCTAGTTAATGACCTCCCTTCCATCTTAGCTCTGCATATTCTTCCTTTGTTTTCATCCCTCGGTCATCATCATTTCTTTTTCGCCCCATATAAATTTTTCTCACCCTTTTTTTTTTTTGTTAGTAACTGTGTTTTCTCTTGTTTCGAATCTATTCTGTTTCCGCAGGTTTCAGTTCCTGGTGATGAAGGTTGTATTCGAGTTTTCAAAACATGACGATTTTTTCCCCCATCTAAACCATGAAGTAAAAAAATTTTCTTATTTTTAGGTAGATCTTTCGTTTTAGTTTTCTTGGGATTAAAAGTTTGATAAAAAAAAATATTATTTCAGTTCAACTTTATTTCTCTTAAATTTTAACTTGTAAGTTGTTTGAGCTGACCAAGAAAATTATTTCAATAATAAAAAAATTAGTTAAGAGAATTGTTAAGCATAAAATTTTGCTTACTATTAATGACGTAACAAATTTATATTACATAATTTACTATTCATTTACATCTGTTCTGCACTAAAGTTAAACTCATTTTCTCAAAAGTGCTCTTTTTAATAGGATGAATCCAATAATGATTTAGCAAATTAAACAAAAAAACTTCATAGTTTTTAACGTCAAGGGAAATATTAGGCATTAAAAGATGAGTTTTGAGAGAATCTTTTTTTAGTGGAAAAACAAGTTTTAAAATTAAAGGTGATGTGTACCAAAACATATCAGTAGGCAAACAAAAGAAAATCCACAGTTTTAGATCCACAATTGAACAATATATGTACACAAGGTGTCTTAAAAGTGTTTAGGATCAAAATTTTACATATTTAAAAAATTAATCCGTCACCGCCTCATAAAAAATATACAAAAGCATGCTGGGTTGGACAAAATTATGGAAACACTTTTATTCTAACTCGTTTTTTTTACGTCATTTCATAACTCATTTGTAATAAATTACGAACGAAAAATAATGCTTTTAAACACTCTGCCACAAAAAATCTAGTTATAACCTTGTAAATTTTACGAATCATTTTGGCTATTATAAAAGATAATTTTACAAAATTTCGTGAAGTAAGTTAAATATTCATGGAAATATGGATATTTCTATAAAAAACAAAAAAATTTTTACCCTCAGTTTTCCAACTAAAACTGCAGTAATACCCCAAGAATTAAACAAAATTTTTTGAATCATTTTTAGTTAATATAAGAAATATTTTAAAATTTGAAAATAATTCGTTAAAAATTACGCAAGAAACTAGCATTTAAAGCAATCCTTTCATACTGCGCATGCGCGGAATACATTAAATATTTTTTTTTCTCCATAGTTTTGCTCTGAATCGTATTTGGTAACCTAAGATAAAAGGCTGATTTGAATACCTTGAAAATGTAAAAAGTTTCGATCAATTTTCTAAGTAGCTTTTGTACAGTACCCAAATCGTCGACCGAATAGTTCCCAAGAAATTGAATTTTAAAAATTCTTTAAAATTCGATTTCTCAGCAGGTATTAAACCGATTTCGCTCTAATTTTGTGTTTTGCCAAGGGAAATTATATACTTTAAAATGATGTTAATTTTTTTATACCTTACCATTTGAAGTTTTTTACATTTTACCATTATTAAATAAAGACAATAAATATTTGCTAAGGTCATATTTTATATTGAATTCGTTGGAAAAACAAATTTCATAGTTGTGTGCGATTTCAATTCGATGAAGAAGTTCTCGACTTAAGCTGAAATACGCAAAAAATAAAATTACCATTAAAGGGGCATTAACATTAAAATTAACATTCCTAGATTGCGGCCACATCTTATTTTTTCGGGGATCGGAAATCCAAATCCGTCGAAAAAAAGGTTATTCAGAGAAAGTATGTTTTTTTGTCTGGTTTCGTGGTTTAAAATATCGTCGGCACTAGTTAATTAGCATATGTGAGGTCACCCTCTCAAATTTTTAAAATTGAGTCCAAGAACGTGAAAATCCGATCATTAGATCAAAAGTTATTCTGGATTTTTTATTTTGCGAACTGTACTTTCATTTTTTAAAGAGAGCTCTAACTGAAAGGGGTTTTCAGCAAATTTTATTTCATAGAAAATTACAAAATTTTATACCAAATGATAATATCCTACAATGATGGTCCGGAAACAAAATGCGATATAAAGAAATATGCCGTATTAGTGAATATAATGTCCTTTTTAATAAATCTTAGTATAAAATATAATTTGTTGGAAAACCTCTTATATTTCGCAGTTTTCTATCCAAAAACTTGCTAGAAATCTCCAGAAGATTTCAAATATTTTTTTCGCTTTAAGTAATGACTGATTACCCACTATTGAAGAAAACTTTACTTATCTCTCTCTCGAGACCTTCAGTTTATAAGCTCACACTTGATTTAATTTCAAAAGCAACAAACAAATGAGCGAGAGAGGCATTCGATGTTACCGGATATAAATTCTTAAAATTTGTACTGAGATTTTTAAAAAATAAGAAACGCTCATTTTTGACCATTAGTGTCATCCGGCCACTTTGAAATTTAATCACTCGTTTGATTGCCGTGGTAAATATCTGATTGTAGGCTCATATTGACGTTTGGGTTCACCAAAATGGGACGTCACCAAGGGTGGACATAGCAACCTTTTTTGAAAATAGTATCGACGTCTCAAAAATCACACGAGACTGCACAAATGAGTGACACTAAGGGCCATCCTCAAAAGATGCTCGGAACAAAGGAAATTAAAACGGTTTATGACAAGGAAAGGGGTCACATCACGAAGTTTAGTGAAATAAAAATACTTAAATTGATATTTTTTCATTTAAACGAGTGCATATGTCATTAAATACGTACGTGTAGATGGCCAGAAGGAACTTCCTCTGATGCAGTCTCACTCTTCCAGGACACACGTGCTTCACGAGTTTTGTATGCTTGTATATGAGCCACGTTTCTCTCAATACACTTGCTGCAGCATTTTTTAGCTGAAACACAACAGAAATGAAATAAGCCACTCCAAAGGATGACTACCATGAGTTATGCAGTTAATCTGATGGGATGAACTACAAAAAACGTGTTTTGCTTAATATCATAACGTAAAGTCATCGGGAGTAGGCAATAATAATAATAAAACAAGGAAATTATTTTAGTTTTATTATTTGAAGTGCTTAAGGCTAAAATCAGGTGAGGGTGCTAAAACCAGGTAAGGGGCATTTTTAGAGAGGCTAAAGAAACATAGTGGTCTCCGAATTATTTCATTACCGAATCATTAGAAGACGGAACCCATAATTCTTTGCCTTATTCTATTTACCACTCTCTAATTTGAAAGTAAAAATCTAAAAACTAATGTGGATTAGTTGTGTTAAGATTAAAGTGAAACCAAAAACAATTCTGCTGCATGCCCATATTAATGCACCCATTATGCTATTAACATTCATTAAATAAATACCCCTGAAAATGTCGCCAACCTGGTTTCTTCCACTTAGCTCTTCCATCGTATCGGTATATATGCCCTTCAATTTTGTGCATGATTTCGTAGTTTCTTCAGTGCTGAGTAATTGATTTTTTTTTTATTCATCCCGTACGAAAAAGGGTATATTTAACTAGTAGTACATATAAACGAAATACCTATTTTAATGAAGGTATAAATGTTTTGTATCATTTACTAACTGTCATTAGAACTGTAAAATTATTTGCTCTGAGGCATAGGCAAAATTTGTTTAGAATTACTGTATTCATTAAACAATTTTTTTTTAAAAATATTTTCGTTATCATTGTATTTCCAATATTCATTGTATCATACATATTAAATGTAAGTTAAAGAAACAGTTCCATTATATTTTGACAAATTAGAAGATATTAAATGTTAGCTTTCATTATTACAAAAAAAAGAAGAATGAAAAGAAGAAAAAAAGAAACTGAGTACTTTTGTAATGATTATTCTCCCCAAAGAAATCTAATAGTCACAGAGAGGAAAATCTCTTTTTGAGTATAATATACATGTCATTTTTTTAAATCAAAATATTACTTAAAAATCAACTATTTCATTTTAAATCATATTTTTACTTATAAACTATTTTTTACTTTTTTTAACAAAGGAATTCAGACTTGAAAAAAAGGTTATTCACCTATGAATAATAAAGCAAATTGATTCTTAAAAAAAAGAAGATAATTCCTTCATGGATGTATAAAATGAAAATTGTAACAGAACTAGTTTAAAAATTGCCTCCACGCCATCTTGTGGCGTAAACAGTAACGAATGAGTTGAACGACAGCAATCGAAGGGAGAACATCTAAATAATATCTCCGTTTTAGTGTTTTGTAGTTAATTTGTGTTTAATTTGTAACTGTTTTCTGCGCTCTGCTATTGAATCTAAATAAATAGTTTCAAAGCTAGCTCGGTGTTTTTATTTCTTAGAATATAGTTACAAAATTATAAAACAGACGAAATAAGACTTATCACGCACTCATGGATGGGACGTCTCACTATCAATAGGATCAAATTACATTGTCAACGAAAGGCTATAATCTTATAAAATGCTGTAAGAAGAAACCTTATAATTTCATATATCTGAAATGATTTTCATTTTAGGATAAACTTTATGCAAGGATTTTTCATCTTTGAAAACCCATAGACTACTTCAATTTGAAGTTGTTATGTAGAAGGTTGTTTCTCAAGATTTTAGATTGAGATAATGTGCATAGAATAGAACAGATTGTCACTCACCTCGTTTTAAGGTTAGGATAAAAAAACTCTTTTACGATTACCTGAAAAGGTTTTCACCGAGTGAAAATAAACCTTACTTTGCTATCTAGAATATAACTCAGGATAACACAATTCGTTTGTGGCATGTCATTATCCCACAATATGCAATTCTGCTCATTCGTGAAATTTACAGGGTATTCTTAATTAGAATGACTACTTCAAAACGGTTTAAAAGAAAAGCGGTTAAATTAAAACAAAAAACTTTTGCAGTGAGTTTATGTGATGACAGAAAATAAATTTTTTTTCCAAGAGCTTCTATTTTAAGCTCAAATTTTTTTGACAGGTAGCATTGCAAGTATCCAAAGTAAAGAAGAGAAAAAAAAGGAGAGAAAAAAAATACATGACACTGTATCAAAGGGAAAACAATAGATAACCCCACCATAGTTTTCGTAATCTTGCAATGCATGAAAATCACATTACGATATTTAGAAATGTCCAATATCATCTTTCCCGTGTCGCATTCAGAGGACGAAATTTGCAAAGGAAAAGAAGAAAAAAAAACGCTAACTTGCAGGGTCATCAGTCGAATATATTTTGGATAAAAATCAGACACAAGCGGAGAAACAAGTCATGTCCTGTCTCATGAATTTGCTTCGGGATTTTTTTTTCTCATCCGTTTGAAAACCGTTTGTTTAATTTAGGAAAGTAAAGATGCTTACTCTTTTCGAAAGCTGAGTGTCCATCATGAAATTATGAACGTGTTTCTCAGCTCGTGTCAGTTCCAGCTTTCGTGCTATAACAGCCACCACAAGAGCGGTACAGCCAGCACCCTGAGAAGAAAACAACAATTTAATGAACAGCAGACACGACAAAAACACAATTTTAACAATTCTAAAATAAATAAATTACTCCATTCACTTTCTTTTATGTAAGGAGTTTTCAGTAAGAATCACTTTGTTTCAATAATATTTGACAAAAAGGAGGACAAAAGTCCGGAGAAATGGGATAGCAAGTTAATATTTAAGCAAAAAAGAAACAACAAAGCTATCAAAATTTGTCAAAGCGCAATGAAAACTGTAGGGTGTAAATAATGAAACCAATTTGATTGCCTATAAAAACTTGAAGGTTTTCTAATAAACTTTCCGTTTTCCTCCCTGTAACCCAACAGGTTTTGCTGTTCTGTACACCCGCCTTTCGTAATAGAGATTTTTGTTTTTTCTTAGTTGAATAATAATTTGTGAGCTCTAATGTATTCTTTATCTAAATCATTTCTGATAAGGAATCTAACAGCACATGCATTAAGGGTGGTCTTTACGAAGCACCTTGTGTATCAAATCATATACACGGAGTCTCAAAGGTTCTGATGTAAACTTGTAAGAGACGTAGGGGATGGTTTCAAATTGAAAAACAACCAATGACCGGAAACGTAAGGAGAAAATGCCACCACAAGCAAAAATATTTGAAAAGACAGTGATTAATTTAGACTGCGAGAATTATTCGAAAACATTTATTGATATCGTGATTACAAATGGTGATTTAGATAAATTCGGTTGATTATTTTACGAGAGATGCTCTAAGTTTGCAGCATAAGACACCAAGCATACCGGGCACTGATAGAACAAGGATTGCCGAACACACCGATTCATATGATTGTAGCAGAACAGCAAACGAGTCTTAACACACGCACCCCAGCGGATTGTCCAGACTCATGATCTAATATAGCGGGAAATAGATGATAGAAATGATAGCGATTTCATATACAACCAAATGATTTCGGTATCATAATCCTGATGATGAGAGTGAAAATGTAAACAGCGGACACTCCAAGAAAGTTATAAAAGAATTGAACGAAATCATATGGCTACAAAAGATGTAAAGATCAACCGAGAAACTGCACTGTAGTCCTTATAAAGGGAAGGAAGCCCAACAGCCAAAAGCAAAACTTTAAGCACGTAAATAACTCTACTAGTGGGTCGTGGGTGACCGATGCAGAAATTTGTTTTTACAGACTTCTCTCTATTGAACTCGTTCACTATAATTATAATTGTGGTCAGCAGATGACCCTGGAAATAAAAAACGTACTTATTTTTATTGATCAAGATGCGAATATTAACAACAACAAAAATTAAAAATACTATGCTTTTTTTGTCACAGCAGACAATAATTGACTTTCCAGCAGGATTCCGCACCAGCAAGCAAAAATAAGGAAAATTGGATAATTATCATGATGCCAAGTTGGCCAACAAGTAAAAACAATGCTGGTTTACACAGACAACCGATAATAAGCATATATATATTAAATACGGCAGTATCGCCATCATTAATTTTTAGCAATGCATATAAATACGGAAATATCGCGATTAATATATAACTATAATTATCGAACTCGATAACGTTTCGTATCAAAAAAGTAAAATTGCGAATATCAGACACAATGATAATTAATGTATATTGGCCGCTTTTGGCAACGAGCTTAGTAACCTTTCAAAATTATCTTGTTACAAACTTTAATGGTAACCAAGCCGAATGCACAGCATAACTGTATTTTAATTCTTCTAGCGCTTCCTCCAATTTTAACGCTTTAATTAGTTTCAAACAATATATTAAGGTTTAGATGTTGTCAGCACTCAAGTACTTTGTCGATTTTAACTATTTTCAAGAAATGTCCACGATAATTGAATTTTGGTAATAATTTAAAATCTGTCCAGCAGCTATTAAATCCCCCTTAAATATAGAGTAATATTAGTTCGGGAGATTTCAGAATAGTAGGCAGCAGAAAAAAACTATTTCCATCAGATAAGATCCTAACTGTTCCATTATCTGCTGTAACATTCCGTCACCAATAGTTTACCGGAAACATAGCCCTATTTATGTTTAAAATTTCTACAAACATTTCAAAAAGGATCAAAAATAAATCTAAATAATTACTTCGTAGCAAAATTTTTTCTATAAAAATGCAAAATTATTCAAAATAAATACTTAACGTGTAACTAATTATTCAACACTACTTAAATTATTACTTAAGACAACTTAACAAAATGAATCCAACTAAATACTTAGCTTATTCTTTAACACTACTTAAATTATTACCAAAGACAACCCAATAAAAAGAATAATAACTATAGTGTTGTAAATAGTTAGAGATATACCCAAGTTTATGGTGCCCCGTGAGAGAAATAAATATATAGATGATATTATTGTAAATGTTGATACATTTTATTTGGCGAACTAAACTATTGACCCATTGTTAAAATTCTATATATATATTTCTCTTACACGGCGACAAAAAAAAGCCTCATTACAACACCCCGAATGGCAACGCTAGAAAATCGACCAATGATTGCAGCTAAAAATGTCACATGCCAATCTAGCTGAGGTGGCTCACCATATAGAGCTTTTAAAAACGGAAACTGAAATAACCAGAGAGAACATTATCAGCTGCGGCAATCTCATACCATTAAGCTGGCAGAAGTGAGTGGTCTTTGTCGATAGATCTCTATTTTAGTGGTTCCCTGTTGGACACGGTGGAAGCATGTTGAATTTGAAGAAGAGCCTCAGAGCTGATATAAATCTTGATAGGCTAAATTAAGCCTTACCTATTGAAACGCAGTGCTATAAGCGAAAGCAGAGAACACGCCGCACTTTACTATACTCAATACTCTATTTTAGTATTTTGTCGAGAGCGCTTTTTTTCACGAATTTATATATTACGAATTTATTTGACGATTTTTTATTTATATCACGAATTTATTTGTTCTATTATTGTTATTAGTTATTCATTGAAAGATGAGTCTCAGTCGTGCTGTTACGCTTTAGGATTTTATACTATAGCGCATTTCTAATAGGTTTAACGAATTACATGTCATTTACTTGAATTCAAATTTATTTTAATGACTTAGTATTTACTAAAAAGAAGTAATTTTTTTTTAAAAAAAAGTTGTTATATGGATTTGAATGATTGTTTTGAATTCTTAGAATTTTGAGCATTTGCAATGTACCTAAGTTAGTAGCGAGAGAAGCGAGCTTGGTTTGCGAAGCAAACCATATAAGATTGCGTAGCAATTTTCGGGGGTTGGCGAGCGTTAGCGAGCAGGAGGCGCAGCCCACTAGTAACATAAATTAGTCAAATTGGAAAAATATCTCGGTATATTGTTCAGTATCAATAATTTTGACACTATATCGCGATATTCGTTATGTTCGTGTTGTTAACAACTAGAAAAAGCATTCTTGTGATTTTCTTGGTGTGTAGGCCAAGATCTTGAATCCAATGGATTTTTTGATTTGGTCCGAACAAGAGTTCAGTAAAGAGAAAATTTTGTGACTTTCTTAGCTTCGCGTTAACTAAATATCATAATATGAATGATAGATTTCAAATTTAAGGATATTTTAATGTTCAACAAAAGAATAGTTTCTAAAATGGAATTTAATAGCCTGTTGGTGATTTCCACAAATGCTTACGATTAAGAATTATTATGTATAATATTATAAAAAATTGTCAAACGTTTTTAACAAAGTTTTGAAAATAGGCGGTTCAAGACCATAATGTCAAATTTCTCATATTTTACAATAACTTCAAAACACTTACGTTTATTATTTCTAGTTTATTATAAAAATTCATTTCATAATCAAGATTTATCATAAGAAAATATTTGAATTTTTTTTACAAATTTCGTGTTCTATATTGTTTTGTGTAGTTCAAGTGAAGTGTCAAGTTTGTAACCAAAGATAATATTTTTTCACTAACTACTCAGTAGATGATATGTACTACCATTTTTAAGATTGCTTTCATGGTTGTTTGAATTATCATTTTAAAAAGTTATCTTGAGATTAAAAACTACTTTTAAAGAATTTTAGATTTTCAAAGGGCATTTTTTTAAATGTTATCAGGTTTGTTACCATACATTTGAATTTTGTTAGAGAAACTTCATTAACAGGTTCAAAGTAACCCTATTTGAGGTTTATAGCATCCTAAACTTAAAAAGGCAGTAAAAAAAATTCAGTTAGGAAAAATGGGTTTGGTCTTTTGCCCGTTAATGTATTCCTTTTATTTTTTTTAAGTTTAGGGATGACTTATTAAATCTCCACAGGTCTAAAATTTAATTCAATCTTGATTCTGACTATTAAAACGTGTGCAAGATCACATACAAGAATCAATATTAATCACCAACAATGATCCATTTTAAATTTATTCTTAAAATGATTTCAGTATGAAATTTAAAAATCACCTATACAAGTAAAAGTTAATTTGTTTTCATTCTGTAAAAAAGACGAAGCCGTTGTTTGCTTTGTAGTCTCGCTACAGACGTTTTCCTCTTACAAGAAGATTCCTGATCATGCCCCTTTGAACCCTTACTTTTATTTAAATTATCTTAAAGACATGGTTTTTAACAACAATTGTCAGCTTAAAGTCAAAAAGGTAATACGAATTGACAAATAGGCTTAGAAGAAAGAAGTTTTCTCGTTAAATATAGTATCGTTATTTGGGGACTCACTTGAAAAGCTCGCCATTAAACTACAATAAAACAGCTGCGATTTTTGACAACATTTGTTGGCAAACATAAAAAAATAACGTAAAATCTAAATAATTTAAAAGGTAAAAAGTACCCCAATTCAGAAAAACATACTTTCTCTTTGTTTTTCGTTCGATTCAGACCTTCAAAATAGGGTGAGCGTGACTGCAATCTACAATATATGGTTCTTATCAAAAAATTTTAAACCCCTAAATGTTGTTTTTATTTTTTGTAGTCATAGCCATTTTTGTTTTTGGAAATTTTTACTGAGAATTATAAAAAAAAACAGTCACTTATAGATAATATATTTTTTATGTTTATTAATTTTTTGTATATTTTAATAATGAGAGGAAAGTTTTTGAAATGCAGGGTATACATATTTTTTACAATATTTTACACTACATAAGTTCTTGTCGCTGTTAAGTTCTCCGAAAACAAAAATGAAAAATTTCGGCTTTTTTTTAAAAATTTTATTGGTCAGAAACTATTTGACCTGTTTCCTTCAACTTTTGGATTTCTTGTCAATTAAATTGAAGTGAACGGAAAATAATGTCATTCATTTAAATTGCGAGCAATAAATCAGAATGAAAGACCAATGACATACCATAAGGCCAGTACTGACAGATATACCTCTGCCGCAGTAAGTGTTGGGAACTATATCACCGTAACCCACAGAAAGAAATGTTATGGCAGTGAGCCACATCGTATTGAGCAAATTCGCATGTTCTGGATCGTGATACCTACAAAAGAAGAGAACATTTTATTTTTATAACTTATGTGAACGAGTAATCAGTGGTTATGGGTAACAATGACGTCGAGCTAATCGTAGCCATGCAACACAAAAGACGAGGTATATTTCAAAAACAAACACTTTGTTAGACCCATAGTTCACCTGTCTTTTGGTTTATATTCAAATCTACAAGTTGAACATTGATAGCCGGAGATTATAGTCTTGTTTCCATAACTTCCGCTCCATAGTCTTATATGTCTATTATATCTACATATGAACTATATATGTTAGGTATATAATAAATATTATGTCCCAGGCAAATATTACATAACTTGGGCATCACAATTTCAAATCTGGTGAGGGGGCTGCAACTTAGAAATGCTTGGAATCTCTAAACGCTTTTTATTTCTAACAAAATATTTTTAATTTGTCTTAAATATTAAAAAAAAAACACAATGAAAATGAAAAAAGATATTTATATGCTCGTTATGAAAACTTTTGAAAATTGATAATTTCCTCATGCATAAAATATTTTGCTTTAACCAAGTATTTACACACTAAAACAATATAATTTTACAATTTTAAAAATGTTACTGTTTTCATGCTTCTTTTGACTGGATGCCTGGGACCCTCTCCATTCATGAATATTCCCCTCCCTCAACCTTTTTACCCAGAATTTTCGTACAGTTTTCATACTCTTTTCAATAATTTATATTAATTTAAGTCAAAATATTTTATTTAGAATTTTAATAATGTATGGCTATGAAGAATTAACGACGGCAAGCACGGGCTGACAGCTTAACAATTTTTCAAATTTGTATTTATTTAGAAAATAGTAATTCGCCATTAAAATTTCTTTAATTTATAAAATCATTCCATTGTACATTTTTGAACATGAATGAAAAAAAAATTTAAAACTACTTTTTGTTGGATTTTATATTTAATTATAAAAAATATTACTACAAACTAACAAATTTTTTTCTTAGCTACTAAATTTGCTAATAAAAAAAATATATAAAGCTAATAAATTTAGATCAGTTTTATTTTAAGACTGTATTTTTTCCACCCATTTTTCTCATATTCAGGAAGAGCCAATGTATGCATTTTAAACAATTGAATAAAGGATTAACGATGAAGCAGTTCTAAAAAAACCGGTAATCAACGGTTTTTCTCGAATCTTTCAACTCATAAAATTGTTGCTCTTTCTCTATCTTTTTTTACAACTCAACGTAAGAGTTGAAGGATATAAGATGCAGATAAAATAATGATTCTTTTGATAAAATGTAAGCAAAATGATATTTAACTCTATAATCCAATCGAAAAACAACTTTAGTAGATAATGGGAAATAGTCTATAGAGGGTCAATATTTCACTATATAGCGTAAATATTTCATTTAAAAAGCAGACCCATTTCTTGGATTTACTATGAGTGTACAACTCCATTGCCTCGTAATTTTTAACACAACCCAGAAAACAAGGGAACTCTTAAAGTAAGTATTGAGACAAATTAACCTTCATGAAGGTTTTCTAGATGGAACTTACCCGCATTTGCGTTACATGGAGATCAAAACGACCTACGATTAGCCCGATGCCAAGGGGATTTCAACCCATTATCCGTCTACTACCACAGAGGATATTTTACGTCAGCACTGTGGCAGAACTCGTATGGACCAGCCATCTCAGTGGTTCGAACCTGGATCACCTCATTGACAGACGGATCCCCGAACTATCCAACGGCTTTCGTGGTTCACATAGTTACATTAATGTGGATCATTTGAACAAATTAGAAAATCTTAAATTTCAAAATAAAATAAATTGTGGTTTACATTTTAGTAGATGATTGGAGGAATGATCGAAGCGATAGAATTCAAGTAAATAAGCTTTAAAGTTTAGACGTTTATTTTCACCAAGCATCCAATTAACGAAAACCATTTACACTTCGTTTGCATCTTTTGCATTTTAATTAACAATAAAAAGACTCTAAAATTACAGGTAGACCGTATCCTCTTAGAACATTCTTCTACTCTGACTCACGTGATTCCTTTATGAACTGAAATATATATTTGGAATGAAAAGATTTGAGCAAAATAAATGAATGTTGTATTATGAGAAAAAAATAAAAGCTTTCCTCTATAAATCTCATTTTTTCTTCATTTATTCGAACAGTGTGTGCGTTTTCGATAAACAATCCATCTACATCTTCAGCCCTGGTTCATATTCATTGAAATTTACTTTATTACATTTTTATGGATCCTGGGAGCAACAACGTGAGTTTCAAAATCATCCTTTACGAAAGGATTGCGTACTCACCACAGTTCAAATGCACGTTTACATTTAAGATGGATACGAACCAATTTTTTTCCATTCGTAATTTTTGTCAAATATTTAGAAAATAAATTCCTATGAAAATTATAGTAAATGAAATTTTTTTCCAATGAATATAACTAGTTTTGCTCTATATTTGTGAAAATTCACTTAGTTAAAAAAAAATTAAAATACGATTTGACAACAAGAAAATAAAATCATGAATTATGATGGTCTGTGATGAATCTGTGTGTCATTCTTCAAATATTGTGTCAGTTCAAAAAAGTAACTCATCCGGCATTGAGTTTCTAACTCATAAAAATGACTCTCATGAGGTAGCTGAATTCGCTTACTTTAAAAAATTGCGGGTTGCAAAATTCAAAGTTTAAAATGGTAAATGATAAATTCATAAGATTAATACGTTGCTTTCAGTTTGTTTTAGAAATTTTACTTTTTTTTTACAAATTGGAAAAAAAATGGATGTTTTTGTTACTATTCATTCCTTTGAAATACCTAAATATCAGATACATCTCGAAAAGCATTCTTTAGGACTACAGCAGCGAAGAAATTACCTCTCACAGAGCCTGAGGGTCCAGCTTGCGATAATCCAGAGAGAGACCATGAAAACGAGCAGAACCGTTCCAGGGCAAATTGTCATGAGGGTCTTGAGCACGAACCTCGTATTGAAATCGATTCTGTTGAGTGCTCCGATGGACCTCGAGGACGCGTCCGTGAACAACTTACTGTGGAGCAGCATCACCCTGCAGATGAGATAGAGGCGCAAGAACATGGGGAGGGAGAGCATCACGTCCACGGGCACCTGCCTCGAAGCAATCCTATTGCCGTGGTTGGGAAGTTTGGTCACCCAGAGGAAGTAGAATTCTCCTGGTGGAGGATGAATCGAACAGATGGCCACCTCCAGCAGAATGTTGGAGATTCGACGCCACGTCATCGCAATCCTCCAGTCATCAGCTCCATTGTCTATCATGAACAACTGCAAGAACACACAACCAGTTTTAGTTCAAATAAAATGGATAACTTTCTGTCTAATGATCGGACGTTCTAGGACTCCATCTTAATGGTTCGATCTCAAATATGCTAATTAATTAGTGCAGACGACACGAAACCAGACGGAAAATTGTACCTTCTCTCTGAATCCCAAAATATAAAAGGTAGCCTCAGTCTGGGAAATTGGGTACAGATAGTTTAGCCAGGAGAGCGTTCCAAAGTTTGGACCCTCTAATGTTATTTTTACTCTTTGTGTTATTTAACCATATCTCGAGAACTTTTTAAGTAAATTGAAACATTTTTCGACACAATTATTAAATTAAATTTTCCAAAGATAATTATTTGCCAAAAATAAGTTTTAGTAAAGATTTATTATTGTTTTATTATTTTATTCAGTAATAGTCGAAAACATTTTGAATTGTAAGGTAGAAAAATTTTTACATAATTTTAAAGTATCTAACTTCACATGACAAAATACAGGTACATTTGAAAGAAATCTTTTGAATAGTTCCTAAGAAATCGAATTTTAAGTGTATGACTTTTTCAAAATTTGATTTCTCAGGAAATATTCAGTCAATTTCGTTCAAATTTTTAATTTTGTCACATAAAATTAAATCTTTAAAAAAATTTTTTTTCCCAATGCCCACCTGGAATACGACCTTTCGTCATACAGGCATCTGAAGGGCAATTTTGTTGGCCACTCTTTCAGGGGCACCCTATTAGGTGGGCCAACGCTGCTCCCACAGTAAGGACAGAGAGTACAAAGAATGAAAGAACATCCATGCCTTTCCCTGGATTCGAACCCAGAACCTTTCTGATGCAAGGCCAGTTCCCTGACCCCTGCACAGGCTGGTCGGCAAACTTTAATAAATTGTAATGTAAAAAATTTTATACCTCACAATTCAAATTTTTTTCGACTGTAATTAAATAAAATAATAAAAATAATAAATATTTGCAACAATTTATTTTTGCATGAAATTATACTTGGATAAACAAATTTTATAATTGCTTGCAAAAATTTTTCAATTCGCTTAAAAAATTCTCGAGATATAGCGGAAATACGCAAAAAGTAAATTTAACATTAAGGGGTCAAAACTTCAGATCGCTGTCCTGACCAAACTATTTGGACCCTATTTCGCAGATTGCGGCTACCCCCTATATTTGGGGGGGGGGGGTCGAAATCTAAATCCGTCAAAAAAATTTATGTTTGTTTAGAGAAATTGCTTTTTTGTGTCTAATTTCGTAACTTAAAAAAATGTATGCACTAAATAATTAGCATATTTGAAGTCAGTCCCTCCAACTCATTTGATGGAGTGAATTTCCGATCATTAGATCAAAAGTTATTCGGGGTGGGTCTGTTTTTTGGCGTGTATCATCCAATGAATTGCTGCAATTTTGAAATTGTTAATGGCAACTAGTTGTTTAAATTATTTTAACCAGAAATGATAGGTATTCCAATGGGTTGCCGCAACTACTAAGTGATTCATCATGGATGGAATTTCAGGTATAGAAAGGGACCACCTCAACTTAAAAGACATCCGCGCATAGCAAGCTAATTGAAATATCCGACTATTTGTCGTCGACATCCTGCAATGCAAATCAGAAATGTTTTTAATCTGATTAATATTTTTCAGGCAACTAAAATCAACCTATATGCCTTTAAATTTACCTTTTTCCTAATTAGGAAGGATATGCAAAATTAAACTTGCCTAGGCAAATTGAAATTAACTTTTAATAAGACTATTTACAATAAGCCTTCACTTCCCTTGGATAATTACAAACTGCTTGAAATGAATCAGGTTAATACTTCAGGTAAAAAGTATGAGTAAGATTATAAGATACTGGACAATTATATAATTAGCCAGACGCATTGCAAAACGACGGCACACAGAAGTCGGAACCAAATCTCACAAAATTAAATCGATCTTTTTTAGTCAACAAAATCACTAAGTTGTTGTTGTTGTTGTTACTTTACGTCGCACTAGAGCTGCACAATGGGCTATTGGCGACGGTCTGGGAAACATCCCGGGGGATGATCCGAAGACATGCCATCACAATTTTGATCCTCTGCGGAAGGGATGGCACACCCGCTTCGGTAGCCCGACGACCTGCGCGCGAAGTCGAGCACTTTACGGTAGCACAGTTTAACGAGGACCAATATCGCACATCCTCGGTCCCTACGCAGACTGATCCAAGTGGTCACCCACCCGCACACTGACTGTAGCCAGTGATGCTTGACTTCGGTGATCTGCTGGGAACCGTGTCTTAACGATCGGTCCACTGCGGGACCAAAATCACTAAGAATAATATAAAATAATTCATCAACACAATGCTATATAACTTTATAAAAACTTCATTCGCTTCAAGATATACAAATTTGAAATAACAGTCAACATGTTTCAAGAGCACAAAAAAAAAAAAAAAAAGAGAGAGAGAGAGAGTGAGACGTGAATGGGAAGGAACGTTCTGGAATTTCCACTATATAGGAGTACAATATACACTTTAAACAAGTCTTCATTCACGTCTGACAAGTCTTGAAAATGGGGGGTCTATTTCTGAGTGCTTGAAACTTTTTGACTGTTATTTCTAATTTGTATATTTCTGTCGTGAAAGAAGTTTTGAATCGAGTAATATCTAACCGCTTCAGTTTCTTGGGATTGTTTATCTATTCTATTATTATTGTGTATTATACATACAAAGTTTTCCTCGTCTGCCTATGTGACTCATCTATACACTTCCATCAGGTGTTACTTCAGAAACAATTATTCTTTCATTATTATTATTAATAATAATTTTTCCTGTTTTTATTATGGAGGAGATCTCCTTTTCATAAATCACAATGAAGTTGCAAAAATATATTCAATTTTGCATATAAGCTTTAAACTACTGTCGTGTGTTAATCATTTATAGGGTCAACGTGGAGAAAACATGAAAAATCAATAACAATAATGAAAGTATAATTATTTCTGATGATAAAGTGCACAACAACGATTCTAATAAACATATGCATAGCCACTTAGTATGGATAATACAATAATAATAATTAGAGTATTGTGTTAATTAAATTTTATATTATTTTTACATTATTCTTCACACTTTTGCTGACAAAAAAATATTAAATTAATATTTTTTAGTCAATTATATTAATGAGTTCCATTAATATAATTGACTCATTAATATCATTAATAATTATGATCGATTTGATTTGAGTTCCGAGCTCTGATCACTGTTTAGAAAGATACATCCTGATTCGTAGATCGATCGAAAATAACTTAAATAACTTTTTATTAGTTTGATTCATACTAAGATTAAATCTTAATATACTCATTAATTTGAACTTTTTGAGCATTTTGAAGAAATTGGAAGCAAAAACATACTTTCTATGAATACCTTTTGTGTGACAGATTTCTTGATTTAGAATATGGGAGATGTAATATATGGAAGATACAATAAATAAGTTAGGAGAAAGGTTTGATTCCCAAATGCTATTTTCTCATTTTATGTATTTCGTCATATCTCTAAACATAATTAAGAAAATCTAAAATGTTTTAGAAACAATTATGAAACTCGACTATCAGCAAAAAATTAATTAATCATCAACAAATATTATTATTTTTTTTAAAAATTTTTTAACAATTTTTAATTTAATAATGAAAGAAAGAAATTTGAAATGTAAAATACACAAATTACGACACCATTTTAGACTACGTAGTTTTGAATGACAGAATCTAAGAAATAAAAATGTAAAAATACGACACTTTAAAATTTTTTACATATAAAGCCACTCTGCCGTTTACACTTTAGATTCTGTCATTTAAAGCTTCATACGTACTTTAAACAATCGTGCCCATTATTAATTAAATAAGAGATAAAAAATATATTTTGCATGAAATTTTCTTTGAATAATTATAGGGTAAACAAGTCAGTGAAAGAACGCTACCCAGTGAAGGAACATTTCATATATATTGATTAAAAATAAGAATTTGAAAGTTTAGATTGATTGGTAACAATAGCTTACTGCCAAGCAATAGGAAGTCATCATCTCTCCAACACCTTGTTTCTTTGAAAAAATTATAAGGTGAGTGTTTGTATTTATAAGTTTGAAGTAGAATTAATTGCATGTAATAGTTTTATTTTTCTCACTGTGAAAAANAAAGATTTATTATTGTTTTATTATTTTATTCAGTAATAGTCGAAAACATTTTGAATTGTAAGGTAGAAAATTTTTTACATAATTTTAAAGTATCTAACTTCACATGACAAAATACAGGTATTTGAAAGAAATCTTTTGAATAGTTCCCAAGAAACCGAGTTTTAAGTGTATGATTTTTTTAAAATTCGATTTCTCAGGAAATATTCAATCAATTTCGTTCAAATTTTTAATTTTGTCGCATAAAATTAAATGTTTAAAAATTTTTTTTCCAATGCCCACCTGGAATACGACCTTTCGTCATATGGGCATCTGAAGGGCAGATTTGTTGGCCACTCTTTCAGGGGCACCCTATTAGGTGGGCCAACGCTGCTCCCACTGTAAGGACAGAGAGTACAAAGAATGAAAGAACATCCGGATTCGAACCCAGAACCTTTCAGATGCAAGGCCAGTTCCCTGACCCCTACGCAGGCTGGTCGGAAAACTTTAATAAATTGTAATGTAAAAAATTTTATACCTCACAATTCTAATTTTTTTCGACTGTAATTAAATAAAATAATAAAAATAATAAATATTTGCTACAATTTATTTTTGCATGAAATTATACTTGGATAAACAAATTTTATAACTGTGTGCAAAAAACTTTCAATTCGCTTAAAAAAAATCTCGAGATATAGCGGAAATACGCAAAAAGGAAATTTAACATTAAGGGGTCAAAACTTCGGATCGCTGTCCTGACCAAACTATTTGGACCCTATTTCTCAGATTGCGGCTACCCCCTATAATTTGGGGGGGGGGGCAGAAATCTAAATTTTTGATTATTTTAAATGATTTCCCGGGTAAACGTTTTTCCCTCTATCAACTGATGTTTCGACTTAAATATAGTGACCTCCACTCACAAATAATCCAAATATTTTTGTTGTTGTACTTTTTGATAATCATCTAAAAGAATTCATTGCGAATTCTTCTGTTTTACATAGAATGAATTTCAATGAGTTGAAGTAAACGATAAATTTTCAAACGCTGAAATTTCTTTTCAAAATATTTAAATTGTGTTAACCCTATCGGTATTTACTTTCATTTTGAAACTACAAATTCAGCAAACACTCACTTTTCTTCAAATTACTTTTGTAAATGAAACAGAATTTGTCCACAAAGTTTCTTCCGCCGTGGCATTTAAAATAAGAATGCTAAAGCTTAAAAAAAAAAAAAATGACGCTGCTGACAAATAAAAAAATAAAATTCAGAAATTATCTGAAGAAATTAAGAATAATGATAGTTAACAAAATTGCGAACACTAATCGTAATATTTCATGCTTCCGTGCTACAGGTCCTAGGTTCGATCCTCGGGCCGGGCAAGGTTGACTCAGCCTTTCATCACTTCAGTGGATCGATAAATGAGTACCAAGCATGCTTGGGAACTAAACACTGGGGGCTCCGCGTTCGGCTGCCAACCTAACCGGAATATCTGCTCCTGCACCCCAGAGCCCAAGGTCAAGAAAACTGAGATGGGTGCAGTAAGCCTTGGCCCTCTATGAGCTGTTGCGCCACTGAGTTTAGTTTAGTTTTTAATCGTAATATTGAACCAAATAATGTTATTACTAAAAGGTAGAAATCAGTTAACGTAGAACTGAAATAATTATCTGCCTACTACCTACTTGTTATAATAAAAATAAGATCGTTTCTGTAAGCTTAAAATAATACCATGGACTACGGTTTCGGCAAATCTTGTTTTTTTTTCTTTCTTTTTTTTTTTTTTTTTTTTNTTTTTTTTTTTTTTTTTTTTTTTTTTTTTTTTTTTTTTTTTTTTTTTACGCCCGTGTATTCAAACTTCTCCTGGTAACGGTGAGAGGAAAAGTGTGGAGAGTGAGAAAATCATGTAAAATCGAGACGCCTCTTCTATTTACAAAGAGTATAGTTGGGGAAAAAGAGCACTTAACATTTTTTTGCAATCCCTGTGCTTTTTTTTCTTCAAAAATGTAAAGCAATCGTTTTTCGGGTAAGTCATGTGTTATTTTCTGCTTTTAAATTTTTTAAAATTTACAATTATTATTATTTTTTCTAAACTAACGAAAACTGATTTTGATGACACTGAGAGCAATTGCCTCAACGTAAATGACACAAAAACAATATTTATCAACAAAAAAAAAATACTGAAATCAGAATTGTTATAGAAAAATTTTATTGGGAAACTGTATGCTTAATTGCTTAGATTCTGATTATCTCGAAATTTTTGAAGGATACTGCAGATTGTACAGCATCAATTTATTTGCGAAGATTAAAGGTAATTAAGGTCTCTAAACAAAAATGGTGTAAAATATGGCTAAAAAGAAATAAAATGAGAACCTGAACTTCGAGGGCATGATAGGTCAAGACGAGAGCCAAGAGAAAACCTGTTGAGACGGATATTATTGTCTTCAGAGCAATAGAGAAAACAGAAGCCTGGAAAGAAAAATATAGTTATAAAAACAATTAACAATTGTCGTTATAAACGCATATAAAATGTTAAAAACAGCAAGAAAAAAGATTCAACGATAAAATAGACACATTTGCCTCGTTTTACTTTTGAGCAACTATTTTGATTTAAGTTTAATATCTTTTATAAGCTAAGCGGGGTTGTTCAGAAATGAATAAAAATATCTTCCATTTTCCCTTTTTAAGTGTAATATTTTTCATTTAAACAGTAAAAAAAATTTATTTCTCTGAGAAAAGTTAGACTATAATCATTTACAGCTCGTTATAGCATATACAATTTTTGTATCTTTAATATGAACACTTTGACAGTGACTTGTGAACTTGCCATTATAGCTGATTTCTCTAAATTTGTCATATCGAGCTTTTACTGAATATAGTGTCGGAAAATTATGAAGTTCTTATGCAAAAAAAAAAGAAAAAAAAAGTATCCCGTTAGCAAGATTATAAATCAGCAAGCAATTAATACCCTTCCTATAAGAGTACCATTTCTTTTGCGGGTTCATTTATCACTGTAATAATTTATTTATTTGTTTAACTGATTAACTTATTTTTAGGCAGAAGAACATTGACAAGTTAAATCTTTTCATCGATGTTGTTTTTTAGGTAAAGGGACATTTCCTAGCAACACAGACCCTGTGTGCCATTATTAAACACATTTTTTTCTAATTTAAATCATAGGAATTTCCTTCCCAGCAATATTATTATATCGATTAAAAAATGAAAGAATAGAATAAAATATGATTTATTTTAAAATTAGTTCAAACTTATGTCGAAATATTATAATTGAAAATATTTTCTGTAAATACTTAAATACAATACAATAAATCTGAAAATAAATGATATTTGGATAAAACTATCTTGCTGTAAACAAGTTTTATCATCAAAAATTCTTTCTTAATTGAAAAGGCATTTTCAGATAGATCGGGGAAAGAAGGTATTTGAACTATTTTAATACCGATTTATTGGAAAACGAAATCTTATTCCATTTACTACTGCCTACTAAAAATTAATTGCTAACGTTAAGATTAAAGTGAAAGCAAAAACAGTTCTGTTGCATACCCATAAGGATGCACCCACTTTGTGTTATTTTCATTCATTAAACCCCTGAAAATGTCACCAACCTGGTTCTTCTACTAAGCTCTTCTATCGTGTCGGTATACATTCAATCCATACCACTTTATGTGATTCATTAAATACCTCAAGAAATGTCACTTCAATTGCTTTCAGTTTTATGTATGATTTTATAGTGCTGTTCAGTACTGATTTTCTTTCGATTCACCCCCATACGATGAACGAGTCTTTAGCTAGCATATATATTTATAAAAGGAACAAAATAAAATCAGGAGAACAAAAAGAACAACCTTAACCTGAGAAGAACATCAAGAAGATTACTTTTCTAATATAAATATTTCTATTAAAGATGTTTTCGGAAAGTCGGCAAATGAGGCGCGTTTTGTTATGCAAATGAAACTCCCTTTTTATCTCTTTTCACGAGATTAAAAGGCGAGAAGGAAAAGAAAAAAAAAAACAATATCTTTTTAATGAAAAATCTATTTTACCTGAAGGTTAACTAAAGGAGGCAAATAACTGGTTGCATCAAGAAAGTATGTCACTTTAATATGAAACAGTCTTTTTTTTTAAATGAAAGTAATTATTATGATGTTCATTATTACTGTATATAATGTACAGCATAGGCGTAGCGTGAATGAAATTTTTGAGGGGGCAAGCGGATTTTTCTTTATTTTTTTATAATCTAGAAAACCTCACAATAAACCACATAATTATGCTGTAGACATAGGAAAAAATGACGTTATTGCTGATGAAAATGAAGTAATTTTTATTGAACAAAAACTAAAGAAGCCGAGAATCCAGTCTATAATAATAGATAATTGCAAAGTTAACCGCAAAGAGTTAAAAATTCTCTTTGATTCCAGTGAAATAACTAGTTTTCAAGGAAAAATATTGGGTAATGAGATTTAAATTAAATTTGATAGAGAAGAAGCACATTGGAACCTCTTTGATAACAAATCTAATATCACACTCTAAATTACAAACTGAGAAACTACTGAAAGTAGTTCTAAGAAATATAACAGCAAGTTATACTAATCACGCACAGTCTATAAATGCCTTACTTTAATGAATATAATATAACAGTGCCGGATTAAGCGTGCGAGGGGCCCTAGGCCATTTAAATTTTTGGGACCCTTAGATTACATTTTTTTTCTCGTATATTTTTTATTTATTCAAATATAAAAGTATTTAGATACCTTTTCATTCAAGAAAGCATATTTAAAATTAAAATAAATAATAATAAATTTTACTTTATTTTGTTAAATTAGAACTTAAAAAATAATCGTAACATTTTGAAAAAATTTAAAATTTATTAACACTTTACAAAATCAACGCTACTATAAAATTGGTATTCAAAAATATTTTTTTTTCTGCTCTTGCGATTAATTAACTCCTCTATAATGTTATCAAAATTAATTTCACGGAGAACGTCTGATTCGATAAACATCAAACTTAGCATGTCTAATAATTTTTGAAACATAACGCGCCTTCAATTTTTTCGCGCGCAAATCAAAATAACAAATTTGAACTAAAAAAAACATTGATAAATCTTATAATACATAAACTATAATAATACTTACAAATAATAACTAAAATAAGTAATACATAAATATGATTAATATTATGTAAAAAAAATTATCGTATTTTATTAATATATACTTGAAATTGATTTTTAAAAAAAAATCCCTTTTAAGGAGGCCCCTAATCATTGGGGGCCCCAGGCCAAGGCCTAGTCTGGCCTAATAGGAATCCAGCACTGTAATATAATGTTAAACAGATGTTGAAACAGGAAAGAACTACCTTTGTACATAGCTACATAACTAAAGCAACATCAAGAGATGCTACGCCCCTGATGAACTTTTACATTAAAGTAGAATCATACGAAGGAAGGCGTGAGCTAATTCAATGCTTTTAATGCAAAAGACTCAATTATGTCTAGGTAAATCGCCACTATGATGTCTAAAATGTGGCCAAAATCACTATACTTACAAAGGCACAACAGACACAAAGCTACCAGCTACACTTGCAAACTGCCAAGAGGTAACAAAATGCGGCATTTTTGACCAGTGATACGGCTTAATATGCAGAAAACCGTACTAGGGACAATTAAAAAGTTATTAGACTTATCAAAGATACTTTTGTTTCCAACGTTACAGAAACAAATTTAAAAAAAAAAAAAAACGATAAGTAAATATAATACAAGAAATTACTCATTAAAAATTGTGAACTGGAATGCAAATAGCATTACCACAAAAATATAGAAACTTTATCGCTTTCAACAATTCAGATATTATCGTTATAACAGAAACTCGTCTACATGGCAACAAGTTCGCAGGCTATGACACCTGCAGGTGTCATCGATCGCAAAGAGGAGGGAATGAGGCCATCATAGCTAAGAATACTCTGATTACTACAGAACTGTCCAAGTCTAAGTACTACGAACAAATATCTATTAGCTAAATATCTAAATAACAAACAAATCACTGGAATTGACACTCACTCACAGATCATCAAACGAATCTATTATCATTGGATACTTCATTTCAAAACACAGTAACAAAAACGGTCTTCATTTGACGAAACCAATTAAAAAGTTTTCCCTCATCATGATCAGCCCTATGGAGCCTACTTATTACCCGGTCACTCAGACCAGATGACACTCACCAACACTCAACAAATGATCCGATCACCATCCTCTTATTGTACGCATAGGTACTGCGAACACTGAAAACTAATATCGAAAAGTAAACTGGTGTCTTTGTCAAAACATTCTAATCAAAAATAGTATGAAATTAAATGATCTGCAAACAATGAACGACATTGAAGAAAGTGTTCAGAAACTTCAATTTAAACCACCCGCACAAACGTGTTTAAAAAAGCAACTTCTTGAATCTTCCACCAACTATCAAAAACTAGTCAAGGATAGGAACTAGAGTAGAAAGAGACTCCATAAAACAAGGGATCCTCAACACAAAGAAGGTATGCAGATACTCAACAAAGAAATAAACAAGAGAACCAGATGGGAAAAAACAAAACAGTGGATTGACAAAATTAAGTTCCCATATCTAGAAAATAACTACAAAAGGAGGATGTCTAAAACAGTAAAAACTGATCCTCAGGGCCTGATTATCGCCTGGCCCAATAGGCACGGGCCTAGGGCCCACACTTTCTGGGGGGCCTCAAAAATTAGTAAAAAGTCACAATATTACTTTTAAAAAAAAAATACTGAAAGAAACAATTTATCTAAAAAAAAAGCATTTTTATTTCAAATTTTCTTTATATTGTGATAAACCAAACTCGTCGACAATCTGTCTAGAATTCATCGAACCCTGCTCGAAGAAAAATCCCACGAATACACTCAAGAAACTTGGGATGAAAACTATCGATTCCCTATCTGGCCTAAACCATATCAGGGCTTCTACTGATGGATCTTCTGACTCCACTTTCACCAACAGAGGTGTGGGAGTGGTACTGCTCCTACCTGATGATCAAAAATGAGAGATCGCAACTGGTGCTGGAAAAATCGTATCTAATTTTACGGGAGAATTGATAGCCATTTCCACGGCAATCGAAACGTACATCAATCTTAAACCTTCGGAGCAGCTTAGTGGTATGACCATCTTCAGCGACTGCAGGTCTGCCTTACAGACCCTCAGAGGTACCTCAAGCCTAATCTTGAATATCATAGAACAACTTGGACAACTTCAACGTCTCCAGAAAAAAAAATGCTTCTTGCAGTGGATTCCCGCCCATGTGAACCTTGAGTTCAATGAAATAGCTGATTCCTTGGCTAAAAATATCAGAGATCTCAATCAAAATACAATCCCAACTACGCTGGCAGATGGAAATGCTTTTGCTAAGTCAAGACTATTCACCCCCTTAAAAAATCAAGGTCA